GGGGGATTCTAGGCAGGTTCTCACTACTGAGCCACACCCCAGCCCCTCACTCGGGGATTCTAGGCAGGAGCTCTACTACTGGGCCACACCCCAGCCCCTCACTGGGGGATTCTAGGCAGGTGTTCTACCACTGAGCCACACCCCAGCCCCTCACTGGGGGATTTTAGGCAGGAGCTCTGTGACTGTGTCGTATGCCCAGCCTTTCACTGTCATAGTCCGGGCAGGCAATAGGGACCTACAGAGTAGTCAAGGGACAGGATTTCATTGTATGTTCGTCTTGCGTCAGAGGTTACTGACATCTATTACTTTCAGCCCTAGTTCTAGACAGAACCAGCTGACCCCACCTACTCAAACTTGGGAGTTACCCCCAAGGGCACCTTTCCATTGTCTATCCTCTATTGACCAATGGGAGGGGAAAATACCCACTTCAAGATTTCCTTCCAGTTGATCTTCTGGTAGAGTTAACAAAAACATCTGGGTCCTCTTGAGTAGGTATTTCCCATCATTCTGTTGGAATATTCTGGCATGCTTAGCAGAAGAAAGAGGTATCTCTCTTCCTTTTTTTCCCCCCTGAGATCTTATTAGAAAACACGAGGTTGGATGTGGATCTTTGTGTGGGCAGGTGTGCAAACACATATGTATCTATGTATGGAGACCAAAGAACAACCTTGGCTATCATCTGGTTAGGCACTGTCCACCTTATTTTTTGTCTCTCATTTGCATGGAACTCAGCAAGTAGGCTAGACTGGATGGCCAGTGAACAACAGGGCTTCACTTATACCAGGCTATCCAGCTTGTACCACCATGCCACATTTGACCTTTGTCTGTGGTTTCTAGGACTTGAACTCAGCTCCTTATGCTTGCAAAACAAACACTTTACTGATGGAGCCATCTCATCAGCCTGGCGGTTTATCTTAAAGAATTTTATCTTAAAGCTATTTGTCATTTGCAGAAGAGTTACAAGGAAGAGGGTCTTCTGGGTATCAAAACATTTCATAGTTTTGTTTTGAGACAAAAGCCCTGTCACAATGGAGCAGATGGTGTCATTACTCATGAATGTGCACTGGTTATCTTTGTTACCTTGACAAAATATAAAATCTCCTGGGAAGAGAATCCCAATAAGGGATTGTCTAGATCAGGTTGGCCTTTGGACATGTCTGTGGGCGATTATCTTGACTAAGGTAATTGATGTGGGAAGACCCGGCCCACTGTGGGTGGCACCATTACCCACATGTAAAAGGTCCTGAACTTCCTAAGAGTGGGAAGATTTATCTGAGCATTAGCAAGCAAGGGGCACACATGCATTTCTCTCTGCTCTTGATGGTGACTATGCTATGATGAGTTGTCCCAAATTCCTTCCTTGACTTCCCCACAATGATGGACTGTGACCTGAATTTTGAGCTAACATAAACCCTTTCTCCTCTAAGTAGCTTTTGTCAGAGTGTTTTATCACAGCCACAGAAATGGAACTAGAACAGCATGGGAGTAATGTTGGAGTTCAGATATGCATGGACGTAGGTGTGGGCCAATTTTATAAGACCCTCAGATGTAGTCTCCATAGTCATGTTGCTGGGTAGCCAACTGACAAAGACTTGTTGAGTTCATGTACAAGTGGAAGGCAGAGAGAGCTTTTATGGTGAAGTGAAACATGCTTAGACATGACGTCACAAGTGTGTGCCACTTTGAGTGTTAGGTAATCATTGACAAGAAGAGAAGAGGGTATTTTCAATGTTGAATGACAGATCATGGCACTGAACCTTTGGCATGGTTTTTGGGTAGAAACCACGCAATAACCAGGGGGTGCATTTTTTGTGTGTGTTTTCTTTCTTTTTTTTTTCTTCATAGAATGTGTGAACAGTTTTGCTTTACTGCTTCATAGATTTTTAAAGAGTGTCCCAGGTTGATTTTTCCATGGGGAAAACCTCATTTTTCATTACAGTGACATGCTTGATAGAAAGGGTAATGAGTGAGATTATGGGACCCATGCACCAGGGAAGATGGGCCTGCCAACAGCTCCTTTATGGGCTGTTTTTTTTTATCAAGTGTATTGTCACCGAACCAATTTTCATGTGGAAATGGCTTTTCTTCCCCCTAAACAAATTGCTTTTCATAGTGTTTGACTAGGGTGGCTGCCATCGTCTTTGAAGATTAGCTAACTCACTTCTCAGCCAGGGTTAAAATCTACACCTCCACGGCCCGTAGAAGGTCAGTGTCTGTGGTTGTTTTATTCCTTGTCGCTGAATTGATGGATAGTCAGCAGAAAAAAAGAGTTTCCAGAGGAATCACATATGAAAAGAAAGACCTTGAGTTTTCTAAAATAAGATTTCAGACTGTCTTGGGGGGAATGGGCACTAGAATGCAGAACGAGTATGGTTGAGTGATTTACTTTGGTTTAAACTGGAAATGTGCCCCCACAGACTCATGTTTTGAAGCCTGCTCACCAGCAGGTGGCACTGTTCTGAAGGTTGTGGAGCTGTTAAGGGTTGGGACCTGGCTGGAGGAAGTAGATCCCTAGGGGTGGGACTTTGAAAGTTACAGTCTGGACCTGTTCTTCTGGCTTCATGGTTTGTTACCACACGAACAGCCTTCTTCTAATGTTCTAACCATGATGCATTCCCCACCGTGATGGTCTGCAATGTCTCTACAGCTGTGGGATTCTAGACAGGTGCTCTACCACTGAGCCACACCTCCAGCCCCTCACTGAGAGAGTCTAGGCAGGTGCTAGACTCCATCCCCTGCCTGGAAGATTCTAGGCAAGCATCTGCTGATAAACTGCATCTCAAGCCACCTTTTTACTTTCTATTTAGAGGCAGGGTCTCACTCAGTTGTCAAAGCTGATCTTGAACTTGTGATCCTCCTGCCTCAGCTTCCAAGGTATTTGGAATGACAGATCTGCACCAACCAATCTGGCTACTTTGCTTATTTTTAACAGACATGTTTAATTGTGCATGTTGATTAGACATGGAGTGATATATACAGAACGCTTAATAATTAGGTGTAGTAGAATATTAAGATGTGTTACTTTTCTTTATGTTGCATCTGTGAAGCTGTGTTCCTGTGCCTGTGTAAAATACTTGATGGTCTAATAAAGAACTGAACGGTCAATAATAGCAAGGCAGGACAAAGGATAGGCAGGGGTGGCAGACAGAGAGACCATATAGAGGGAGAAATCTGGGGAGAAAAAAAGAGATGGAGAAGTGAAAAGATCTAGCAGCCAGAGGAGGAGGAGGACCCCAGGGGCCAGCCACCCAGCTAGACAGCAAGCCACAGAGTAAGAGTAAGATTTACAGAAGTAAGAGAATGGGAAAAGCCCAGAGGCAAAAGGTAGATGGGATAAGTTAAGAAAAGCTGGCTAGAAACTAAGCCAAGCTTAGGTCAGGCATTCGTAAGTAAGAAAAAGCTGTGTGTGATTTATTTGGGAGCTGGGTGGCAGGTCCCTCCAAAAAAAAAGAGTAAAAAACAACAATACACCAGTTAGGTGAGGTGGTTAACATATCTATCACTTTAAATGATACTGTTAAGGGCTGAGGTGCTTCAAAATACCCTCGGCTGACTATTTTGCCATTATAGCTGTCAAACAGAGTTTCCTTGCAGGCTGTAGAGCATATGAACATCTTCTTCCTCTTCAACCACACTCCTGTAACCATCAATCCTCCTCTTCCCCCTAACATTTCCCCCACATCCCTCAGATAGTGCTAAATACATTCGATAGTATTGTCAAATGGACAAGATCTAAACTCACATGGGAGAAAGTCCTCTGAGCATGTCTGTGGGGAATTAAAATTGAGGTATGAAGACTCACCCACTGTGGGTGGCACCATTCCCTAAGATGGGGTCCTCCTGGATTATATAAACTGGAGAAAGCAAGCTGAGAACTAACATTTATCCCTCTCTGCTTCTTGATTGTGAATACAATATGACCCAGCTCCTCCGAGCTCAGGTTACCATGCCTTCCCTACCTGCTGTCATGCCTTCTCCACCATGATAGTCTCTGCTGTCTAGAACTGTAAGCCAAATTAACCCTTTCTCTCTTAGGTTGACTGTTAGAATATGCCATCACAGCCAAGAAAGAGAAAACTAAGGCATCACAGTAAAAACAAACAAACAAAGCTGGATGTGGTAATGTAGCTATTATTCCAGAACTGGGGGGAACGGGACATAGGTGGGTTCTGGTATCAGTCAACTCAGCATAGCTGAAATGATGAGTTCTAAGTTCAGTGACAGATTTTTGGCTCAAAAACAACATGGAGAGAGACTGAGGAAGACACCTCATGTCTTAGTCAGGGTTATTATTGCTGTGATGAAACACCATGACCAAAACAGCTTGGGAAGGAAACGGTTTATTTGGCTTACACTTACACATCACTGTTCATCATTGAAGGAAGTCAGGGCAGGAACCTGGAGGCAGGAGCTAATGCAGAGGCCGTGGGGAAAATGCTGCTTACTAGTTTGCTCCATATACCTTGCTCAGTCTGCCTTCCTATAGAGCCCAGGGGTGACTCCACCCACAATGGGCTAGGTCCTCCCACATCAATCAGTAACTAAGAAAATGCCATACAGGTTTGCCTACAGCCAAATCTTATGGACACATTTTCCTAATTGAGGGTCTCTCCTCCCAGATGCCTTTAGCTTGTGTCAAGTTGACATAAAATGACTCAGCACACCTAACATTGACCATCTATATGTGGACACACATGAACTTGTATAGACACATGCACCCACAAACATGTGCACACACGATATTTTAGAATGGGAACATTTGTGTGGGTGTACGGTCCAGAATATGACCCTAGGTGGCAAAGCAATTTGTTCAAAGGATTAGATTCACTTAGAATGATTGCAGGGGCCTGGGAATAGAACAGGACTGCTGTTCTGACACACAAGAAACCTTCACAAGCATAAAGACAAAAGTAAGCTAGCTTAGCCCTAAACTGGATGGTCTAAGGTAATTAGGGATTGTTTTTTGTGCTCAATAGCCAAGTGTGTTGGTTGGTTTTATGTCAAGTTGACACAAGTTAATGTCATTTGGGAAGAATGACTCTCAATTGAGAAAATGCCTCCATCAGATTGGCCTGTAGACAAGTCTGTCCAGCCATTTTTTTTTTATTATTAATGATGGCTATGAGAGGGTCTAGCATACTGTGGGTGGTGCTACCCCTGGGTCCTGAACCGTATAAGAAGGTAGGTCGAGCAAGCCTTCAGGAACAAGCCAGTAAGCAGTGTTCCCCCATGGCCTTCGCATCAGTTCCTGATTCCAGGTTCCTGCCTTGAGTTCCTGTCCTGACTTCCTTCTGTGCTGGCCTGTGATGTGGAACTGTAAGCTGAAACAGATGTTTTCCTCCATGGGTTGCTTTGGGTCATAGACCAGCAGTAGAAGCCTAAGTAAGACACCAAGGGGGGATAAAAGGGGGTTCAGCCTCTGTCACGGACATTAAGTGGATCCATTACTGTATAATACTGAATCTAATTGCCGCCTCCCTGGAAGGATCTTACCTATTCCAGAGCTAGATGAGACTTTTCTCCTGACCCTGTTCACTTCCTTCCTGGCATTGTCTATGTGTCTGCTTCTTCCTGCCCACCACGAGGGACAGAACTTGCTCAGCATCCTTCCCCAGCTCAACACGTGGGAAGATGCAGCCGGGAGTCAGCTCTTTGTTAAGTTATTTCCAGGTTTTTACTTTCACCAAAAGAACTTCTAACCCCAAGTAACTTAAGAATACAAGAGCCCAGGACTGGAGAGATGGCTCAGCGGGTGATAGAGGCGGAGGTTCAAGGTCATCTTTAGCTACATAGCCTGGGCTACATGAATTTCTCTAAAAATTCTTTCCCTCTCTCCCTCTCTCCCTCTCTCCCTCCTCTCCCTCCTCTCCCTCCTCTCCCTCCTCTCCCTCCTCTCCCTCCCTCTCTCCCCTTCCTTTCTCCCTCCCTCCCTCTCTCTCCTCTCCCTCTCTCTGTTGATATGGGTGTGGGTGGATGTACGTGGGTGTGGGTGAGTATATAAGAAATACTGCAAACACTAGTGAGCCTTCTATATTATTTTACACGTATGCAATTATGCTTTTGGGATACATCCTGAGAGGTGGAGTTGATGCATGCATCGGAAAGAACATTTTAATCTGAGTATAAATTGCCAAATCGCATTTCAAAGAGCATACATATGCAGGCTCATGTTCTCTCCACCCCTGCGTCTGAGACTGCCTCTTCCTTCACAGCTTCACTCCTGCCTTGAGCTATCTAATGTCTTGAGCGTCACCTGCCTTCCAGGTGAAATGTGTTTTCCTAAGGTTCTGTTCACTTGCTTCTCTCTCTTTACAATTTGGGTTAAAACAGAGGTTTCTGTGCTTAAGAGTCCTTTGTAATTCCTGCCTGGGGAACTGCCTGCTCATGTTCTTTTCCTGAATATTTTTCTTTTAGTAGGTATGCTAGCCCTTTCCTTACTACTTTATACAAGGTTTTGTTTCTGTGGTAAAGAAGGGTGGATTCAAGGTCTTACATATGCTCTCTCCCTGAGCCATGCCCCCAGCCCTTACTGGGGGATTCTAGGCAGGTGCTCTACCACTGAGCCACACCCCTAGCCCCTCACTGGGGGATTCTAGGCAGGTGCTCTACCATTGAGCCACACCCCCAGCCCCTCACTGGGGGATTCTAGGCAAGTGCTCTACCTCTGAGCCATACCCCCAGCCCCTCACTGGGGGATTCTACCCAGGTGATCTATTTCTGAATTATATCCTCACCCATTTTTTCCCTGGTAAGGTCTCGCCTCGCTATGTAGCCTAGACTGCTTTCGTAGTCTCCCTGTGGCTGTGATGTACAAGTATGTGTCACCATGCTTGACTACAAGCTTTTAAAATTATGAGTAAAATCACCCCTGCTTCCGTGATATATTATGTCGACATAAAAACCACAGGTCTCATCTTAAACGGAATAAGAGACAGTTCATTCTGGAGTCATTTTGAGTGACCATGACTCGGGAACACAGATTCAGGTTACCCCAAATTCCATGTCCCAATGTGGAAGTTGTTTCACAGGGTTTTGGTAGTTTTACAGAGCAAAGACAGTCATAGATCAAGGCAGCTTTAAACCACATTGATGGGTACACCAAAGAGATGTTGAGTGTAGCATGATGGGAGGAACCGTTCTGTGGGCCCAAGATATTGTCTGATGACGTTCTTAGCTCTTGGATGGGCGGAAGCTGGTGCTCTATTAAATTAATGTAAGAGGTTTTTACTTATTATCAGGAGGTGTTAGTTCAGGCACAGAGTGGGGCAAGGAACGGCTGTCCCAGAAGGCAAAAACTGGCCCCAAATAAAGCAAGTAGCATCTGAACCCACCAAATTCCAATCTCCCCACAGTCCTGAAATTCCAGTTGGTCCATTCAGTCTCTTCAGACACAGGCTCCTTCCGGGATTTATTTGTTCGCAATTCCAAAATCCATTTTTATTTAATTTCCAATCTTATTTTTCTTTGTGTGACAGTTAGCTCTAATTGTCAACCTGACAGAATCTAGAATCCATCACCTGGGGGGTGCATCTCAATGAGGGGACATCAAGGTGAGATTAGCCTGTGGGTAGGTCTGTAAGGGACTATTCTGAACTGGATTAATTGAGGTGGCAAGACCCACCCTGGATGAGGGTGGCACCATCCCATGGACTGGGGGCCTGGATTGAATAAAAAGGAGAAAGTGAGCTGAGCACCAGCATCCATCTCTCTCTGCTCCCTGACTGTGGATGCCACGGGACCAGCTGCTGCACACTCCCACTGTGGAGATTTCCCTGACATGATGAAGTGCAGGTGAACTCTGAGCCCAAACAAATACCTCCCTTAAGTTGCATTGTCAGAGGACTCATCACAGCCACAGGAAAGGTCACTGAGGTACTTGGACCTTTTGTTTCTAAAATTTCACAAAGTTTACTGCCAGGCTTTTGTGGTTTGTTTGCTGTGAAGGAGCTCATTTTTAGAATGATTTAATTTTAATTACGTGTGTGTATATCTGTGTGTGGAAATGTGCATGTGAGTGCAGGTGTCAATGGAAGCCCAGAGAGAGTGTTGTTGTATGTATGTATGTGTCTCTCTGTGTGAGTATGTGTTCTTGGTTGTTTTTACTCTTTACTCTTAACTGTTTTTTGAGGGGCCCATCACCCAGCTCCCAAATAAATGAACATCGAGGCTTATTATTACTTATAAATGCCCTGCCTTAGCTTGGCTTATTTCTAGCCAGCTTTTCTTAAATTATTCCATCTACCTTTTGCCTCTGGGCTTTTATCTTTCTTACTTCTGTAAATGCTACTTTCCCCTTACTCTGTGGCTGGCTGTGTAGCTGGGTCACTGGCCCCTGACATCGTCTCTTTCTTTTGCTCCTAGATCTCCTCTTCCCTGATTTCTCTTTCTATTTATTCTCTGCCTGCCAGCCCTGCCTATCCTTTCCCCCTCCTTGCTATTGGCCATTCAGCTCTTTATTAGACTAATCAGGTGTTGTAGACAGGCACAGTCACACAGCTTCACAGAGATAAACAAAGGCAACATAAAAGAATGCAACACATCTTTGCATCATTAAACAAATGTTCCACAGCACAAACAAATGTGACACATCTTAAAATAAAATTCAAAATAACAGCAGGTATGTGCATGTGAGTGCAGGGGTTAATGGAAGCCCAAAGAAGGTGTTGTATATGTGTGTGTGTGTGTGTGTGTGTGTGTGTGTGTGTGTGTGTGTGTGTGTATGTGCGGGTGCAGGTGCCCATGGAGTCCAGAGGCATCCAAGTGCCTGGAACTGGAGTTCCAGGTGGTGAGTTACCTGACATGGGTGCTCTGAATAAAACTTGGGTCCTCTGGAATAACAGTGTGTGTTTTAACTGCCGAGCCATCTCCTCCAGCCCCCCTTTCTCGGTTTTTATATGTATCTACTTAATTGTCCTGAAACCATTTATTGAATCCCTCTTTGAATATTATTGGAAAAAGTAACCTTTATCCTAGCTCAAGCTTCCTCCTGTATCAATTCTCTGATATTGCCACCATTTTAAAATGGAATAACTTGAAATCTGGCCAGTGGCTTCCTCTTTTTGTTGTTATACAAAAAGGCTATGATAAATGTCTTTATAAATAAATCATTCACGCCTGCTCATTCGTTATTGGGCTGAACTTGGAGAGCTGGAATTGCAAGGTCAAGATGAGAGCGTCCCTAGTAGTGTCTTTATGGCAGGATCATCAGACCTACCTGACAGCAGAGAGAACAGCATAAACCCTTGACAGTCACCCTGGAAACCCAGGGAGCCTTCCTGGACTCCTGGCCCCTCTGTCTCCTCTTCTCACTTCTCTTTTCTCCTCCACATCCTTCCTCTAGTCTCTTCTCCTTACCTCCCTTCCTTCCCCCAGTTCTCTTCCTCCCCCTCTCCTTCCTCCTCCTCCTCCTCCTCCTGGATATCCCTTCCAGCCCCCTCTCCCCTCATCTCCTCCTCTTCCCCCTTCCCTCCCCCTTCCTTCTCATCTTATCTCCTACTTAATTTCTTTTAAATCACATTTGTTTATTTACTCCTGTATTGATTTTTTTCCCCCCGGTGCAGGTGGAGGGGGGCACAGCACTCCCGCAGAGTTCAGAGGACAACTTCCTGTTCCCTTTAGGATTAAGTTGCCCGATGGAATTTGGAAAGCAATTATTTCCCTTTTCTGAGCTGCCCGTTTAATGTTGGAGTGTGGGGATGAGGTCAGCCTGCCGTGGTTGATTTCAGATTTATTTCTCAAGCCGGAGCTGGTGTGAGGCTTTGAAAATAGTCTTTTCAAAGGCACGGACTTATTTTGGCGAAGAGAGCCAGCTTGTTAAAACAGAATGAGAGAGTTGGCCATTTTAAGCGAATAAATTACTTCTCATTGATAATGGGATATTCACGCAGCCTGCAGCGGAGAACAATGGCTTTCATAAGCAGGCCTTTTAGCGTGAGGCCTCAGGAGGCAGAATGGACTGGAAAGAACTGGACAGGGGATGAATGGGAGGGCCGACGAACAGGAGTTCAGAGAGCTTCACAGGGAGGTACTTTTGGGTCTTGCCCAAGATGCCAAGCGTCCTTTTCCAGCTGCACCTTCGCCTTCCACATTTTACCTGACAGACAGTTGCACCAAACTCCAGGTGACTGCCTTTTTAGAGGCAGCAGCTTCAGGGGCTGCCCCCAGAGACCCTTGGCAAATACTCTATTGTTGATCCACCTCCACCCTCCAGCCCCTCACTGGGGGATTCTGGGCAGTTACTCTGCTGGTTAGCTACACACCCTAGGCTTTGTTGATTTTGGAGGCTGAGTCTCACTTTATACCCGAGGCTGGCCTGAAATGTCTGGCAATTCTCCTGCCTCAGCTTCCTGACTATTAGGATCATAAGTACACAGTAATGAGACTGCTATTTTTTTTTTTTACAGCAATCTAGAAATGTGATTTGAGACATGTTGACTTGTGTCTTTACATGTGAAAAAAGAAAGGAGACAATGGTTATACGATAACACTGAAAAATCACACAAGAGGAAGGTAGTCAGTTCTGGATGGGAACCTGGTTCCTTGTATCCTGGTATCATTCTTGCCCTGAGGCTTGGTGCCTTGAATGATTGACAGCTCTTGTTTTGTTTTGATGCGACTGGCCCTTGTGCTATAGCCTAGGCTAGTCTGGAACTCACTGCAGAGCCCAAGTAGGTCTCAACTCACAGCAATCCTCCTGCCTTGCTAAGCCAACGATTTCACAAGCATTTGTGTTGTGGAATATTATTTTAACTAGGCAAAGATGTGCTACATTTGTTTATGCTGGGGAATATTATTTTAACAGTGTAAAGGTGTGTTACATTTGTTTCTGCTGCATTTGTTGAACGATGTAAGGATGCGTGTTTAATTATGTAAGAAGATAAGTTGCATCTGTTTCGCCTTGCCTGCCTGATTGGTCTAATAAAGAGCTGAATGGCCAATAGCTAGGCAGAGAAAGGATAAGTGGGGCTGGCAGGCAGAGAGAATAAGAGAAGGAGAAATCTAGGCTCAAAAAAGAGGAAAAAGAAGGAACAAGAGAAAGAGAGACATGCTGGGCGCAAGAAGCCAGGCAGACACCAGCCAGGCAGACATGAGAAACAGTGAAAGTAAGATGTACAGAAGTAAAAAAGGTAATAAGGCACAAGGCAAAAGCTAGATGAAGAGAAACACGTTATTTAAGTTCAAAGAGGTAGCCACAAATGTGCCTGAGCTGGGCCGAGCATTCAAAACTACTAATTAGTCTCTGTGTTATGAAGGTAGCATTTTTTTGGGGGATGCAGGAGTGCTTGCTCAGTAGTTATATTGAGACAAGAAGCATGTGCTATTGTGTGTGTGTGTGTGTGTGTGTGTGTGTGTGTGTGTGTGTGTGTGTGTGTGTGTAGGAGTGGGTATGAAACAGGGTCTTGTTGTGGATGCTAGGCTGGCCTAGAACACACAATCTCCCTATTTTACCTTCCTGCTGCTCACACCAGGCTAGCTGCCCAGGGCCTTCAGGGATGCTCCTGTCTCTGCCTCCCATGTCTCCATAGGGCACTGGGATAACAGACACTGTCATGTCCAACTTTAGGTAGGTCT